TGCAAAATATATAATTATGTCCATATCTATATTTCAACACTTATTTCTCAGACTTTCAAACAATGTGAAAGAAGTCGATCAATAATGGATGTGGGATGGATGTATCTTCCATCGAAGCGAAGCCTGCTAGATCGTCTGCTCTGCTGTTTTCTTCTCGGCCAATCTGCCCTATCCGCACTACTTCGAACTTCATGATCTCTTTTCTGACTAACTCTTGGTATTTAGCCATCCTTTCGTCCTTTGCCTCGTAGTCGCCTGAAATTTGGTTTATCACCAGCTGTGAGTCACTGTAAACCATTAGCTCAGTGTCCTTCATGTAGAGTGCTGATTTTAGTCCTGCCAGAAGCGCTTCATACTCCGTTTCGTTGTTTGATTGTAACGACCCCATCACGTATAATTATTAGTACTTAATTAATTAAGGAGATTGGGAATTTAATTGCCAAGTATTATAATTTAATTTGGGATTTATGAGAATTGTGGGATCTGATTCATATATGATTCTATTAAAGAGTTATTTTAAAATTAGGAATTAAGGGTTCAAATGGCTTAAGGAAGTAAAATTGAGAAGTTGAATCAATTTAATTTTAATTACGGACCCATTTGGGAGTTTAATTAAATGTTCGATTCAGTTTAATAAAATTGAGATTCGATTAATTAGGCCCTAATTGGAGTTGATTAAGTCATGAGGATTGCGAATTGTGGTTATTATAAATTAAATTTAATTATGATGTGTTCAATTTGAATATGTAATTTATTGACGAAATTTTGAGTCTGATAAGAAATTGAAGGATTTAATGATCTAAGAAATCAAAATTGAGGATGGAAATGAGTTTAATTTAATATTTGGAGCCTTTTAGGAGTTTGATTAAAAATCTGATTCAGATTGTTAAATTTAATTATATTTAATTAGGTTCTAATGGAAGTCAATTAGACTAATTAAATTATGTGGGATTTGAGATTAGTTATAATTAACTAATTTTGTGTCAATTAAGATTAAGTGATGCTTAATTAAATCATTCATCGACACAAATTGAATTATGGACTAAATTAGTTTTGGGGGTGTAAATGGGTGTGGGTGTATTGAGAAATCTGTGTATGTATGTGTATGTGATGTGTTGGGAATCAAGTGTGTGTGTGTGCACGTGTCATGTTCTTGGGCAAGAAGTGAGGTGTGTGTGTGAGTGTATAATCTAGTGGGTTCAAACTTGTACTCAACCATGAATAGAAAACACATAATAAGAGTGAAAGAAAAGAAAAATGAATGCATTCATGTGTTTGTGCTAGAAAGAGCAAACCGAGAGGTAAAGAGAGAGAGAGGGAGACCGACTCTTTGTGCTGGAAGGGTGAAGGAAAACAAGGGAAGCTTGGAAAAGTAGAGAGTTGAAGAGAGACTCAAGGAATTGTGAAGAAACTTATCAATTGAAGGTTTTGGGTAAGAAATTAAAGTTCAAATCTTGTAGTTTGAAATTAAGAGGTAATTAGATTCAATTTCATGCAATGGAAAATAAATTAGCAAGAAAATGAGTTAGGTTTATGATTATGGAAATTAATTTGGAAAATTAATTATTTTGGATTTATTGATGTAGTCTTGAATGAATTAAGCCTCATTGTTGCATGCATGGACAAACTCTTCAAGATCAATACTTCAATTAAACATGCATTGTAGAATCTTCATATCACACTTGAAATTAAGAAAGTTATGAATCAATCTCATGGATTTTGTAAGAAATTGGGTTAGGTTTATGAGCTTGGATAATAAATTTGGAAATTAATAAGTGTGATTTTGTACTCATGTATGGGATTAAGCTTCATTGTTACATGCGCGAATAAATTTTACAAGTCTAATACTCTAATTATACATGCATCATGGATTTTGAAGGATTTGGATTAATTCAATCTCATATTTTGAAGAGAAAAAGGAAATGTTTTATGAACATCAAGTTTATGGAAAATTAGAATTAATCCTAATGCTAGGTAAAGCTTTGATTTTATAATTAGATTTTTAATCCATGCATGTAATGTAATTTAAGATTTTATTTAAATTAAACATATTTTGATTATGAATTAAGTTGAGGTTACAAGTTTAGTTGAGTTTAAGATTATAGAAATCAGTTGGAAAATTTATAAGAAGTTTTTGACTCCAATTTCATAATTTCAAGGAAAATAGAAAGAAATTGACGCCAATTTTATGTAATTAAAGAGAAAATGAGAAATTGAAGCTATGATCAAATGTATGAAAATTAACTTAGAAAATAATTACTTTGGGTTGAATTTATTTGTCCTAACATGAGATTGAGTTCCAATTGTACGTACATTATGAATTTTTCAAGAGTTTTGAAAGTTTAATTCGTGTTTTAAAATTTGTGGGCTTGAAATTGGGTTTGATATGGAGAAGATGAGTTAAACCTAAATTTGGTCAACTGGAGCATGATTTTGAATAAATGATTTCTAATTAAGAGTGTTTCCTAAATTATACAATGGTTCTCCATTTTTGTATACCAAAAATACATGTTTTGAGGCTTTGAATATCAAATATGAACTTCAATTACAATTTTGGAAATTTCAAAATTTATGTTGTCCGCTTGAGCGAGGAAAGTCTCGCTCGAGCGTGAAAATCGAGCTTCCAGAAGTTTTTAAATTTTACAATCCGCTCGAGCGACCAAAGTGGTGCTCGAGCGAAGACCCTATTTTCAGCATATTTTGAAAAGTTGCATTTAGTTCACATTTTTATTCTTATCTTTTTCCAAAGCATTCTAGACATGATTTATGACTCAATAAAGATTAATAAGCTACCAATCAACATAAATTAGTTAGTTAAAGAATGAATCATTGATTTAGTGGTAATAATTTAAGATGCCAAGTAAAAGATCAGTCTATTTGGAAAAGAAGGGCTTAGTAACGGAAGAATATGTGAAATAAGAATCTGATTTATTTGAATGAGAGAGAATAAGCATAGTAGAACTTCGGATTGTTTAGACGGAAAAAGACTAGGAAAGTCAAGTTTGATCAAAGAAGTAATATTGTATTTCAATGTGTATTTGTTATGTGCTTGTGTAGGGCATGCGCAATTGTCTGCTTGATTTATCTGATATGTCCAGTCCATCTGATTTGCTTCTGCGGCTATTTGTGAGTAATAACTTAGTAAAGTTATGTTCAACTGTATTTATTTTCTGTGTGATAAAATGAGATCTGTTTTCTGAAATGATATGCTCTGTACAATGAATGATTGTCCAATTTCTGATATCTATGCATGGCATCCTTAGCATCATGTGATATCTGTTAGCTGTTATCCGGTATCGGAGGTTCCTTTATGGAACTTAATCTGTCAGCACTCTGTTATCCGTACCGGAGGCCCCGTCATGGGGGCTCAACTTCTGTTATGTTACCCGGATCCGGAGGTTCCTTTATGGAACTGGTTATTCGTAACCTCACGTGTATACGTTTTGTTTTGTTCTGTTCTGTTCTGTTAATGCTAATGGATGTATCACGTATACTTACGCATGACTTATGATTTCTGTATATGATCTGGACAAATTATGAATTTGATACGAAACTGAATTATGAATTTTGAATCTGTACGAACTCATTCATTAAAACCCTTTACTTTATTATTATTCACTAGGCTCTAGCTCACTGTATTATTTATGTATGTAGGTGATCAGGCGCGTGACCAGGCCTAGAGGCATCTGCCTATAATCTGTTTTTGTCAGCCAACCTATGTGCCTCCCGTGGAGGTTCCAGATGTGTCAAGTGACTTTGGCTATGCGATTTAAAGTTTAAGTTTTACTTTCTTGTTTGGTTAAGTCTTGTGTATTTTGTAAATGGGGCTAAGTCCCTTTCTGCCTAATCTGTATATATATTATGACGTGAGGATGATGCGTATATATGCACATAATAAGTTAAAAAAAAAAATTTATGTCTCATATAAGTCTGCACAGCTCAATGGACGTTGTATATTTGTTATTTGCTTCCGCTAGCCCCTAATATTATGTTAATCTGTCTCAAAGGCCTTTGGTAATCCCAGGATTACTGGCCGGTTACGATGCTAAACCTATAAGGGCGGGTTTGGGTCGTGACAACTCACTTTTGAAAACTCTGTCCAAGGCGGGAAAATTTGGGCTAACTGGACGTTTGACTGATTGACCAGAATAGTGCAATTTCTATTTTATTTTTTTTAATTTACAAATGCCATTTGTTATTTTTTATATTTTAAATAAAAAAAATTAGAAATTTTAAAATTTTTTATGAGCTCTGAATAGAATTTTGAGTTATGTGTTTGGTTATGAGTTGTAAATTTTTGTATCAAATATCATGTCACATCAAAAAAATTTCACTCAATTCAAAACTCTTTTACCAAATAAATTTTCTACACTCAAATCATAATTCCAAAACTCAAACTCAAAATACAACTCTATTCTCAAATCATATTTAGAAAAATCTATCAAACGCAACCAAAGTTTCACCGTTACAATAGAGGAACATAATATTATTTCACTACCATGTGTAAACTAGAGTTTTTAAACTCTATCAAATAGAGTTTCGAAACCCTAACACGACGAAATAGTAACACAAATGTGAATGAAACTGAACCAAAAAAAAAAAAAACGTAAATAATGGTAACTATCAAAATAGAGGTAGTAAAAGAAAGGAAATGTGTATATCATTTTTGTATATAATATATATCAATAATAGACATAAATGTATAATAATTCAACAAACAATATAAATTAGAAAAAAAGGATCTCATGAAATAAAAAATATAAATATATAAGACTAACTAGTTTATAATTTTTCTTAACGAACTTATTAAATTAGAATCTTTCTAAATGAGATTTATCAATAATTTTTTTTAAGGGTTTTATTATTTACCTATTTGTTATATAATTAGTTTTTTTTTTCTGGTATTTATTTGTCCCAAATTTGATTTTTTTCTCTCTCTATCTTCATAGATTTTAATTCTATTATTGTCACTTGTTTTCATTTTGAAAGAACTAAAAAAAAAAAAAAGAAAAAAAGAAAAAAAAAGGCAAAAATTGTTGTGAGCCACGCGTTGAGCTTGAGAGGAAGAACATCACAGGTGGTGGTGATACACCGTGAGTCAGAGAAGCCTTAACTATCTATTGGTTTGAAATTTATTTGGGGTTAGGGTTTGCGTCTGGGTTTGTACTTCGAACAGCATTCGGATTTCTTGTCTGCTTCGTCTCTTTCCTTCAAATTCGTCTTCTTGCTGGTAAGGAATCTCCAATCATCTCTTTACTCGTGTACGTCTATGTATGTGTATGTCTCTTTGTCTGTATATATCTGCATATATGCGAAGTTACGATTGGTTAATTTTTGAGATGAAAGAAAATGGTGAATTAGGTTGTAGGGTTTGCTATTTAACTTCTATGAGTTGGGATAATTAGCTTTGCAGATTGTAATTTAATTTCTGATACGGATAACTTCTATGAGTTGGGATAATTAGGTTTGCAGATTGTAATTTGATTTCTGATACGGATAATTGGTTGTATAGATTGTTTTAAAATCGTCTTTGGGTCTTTTGAATTCTGCCCATTTTGTATAATCGATTGTACAATCTGTAATGCATATCTTTTGCTGAACTTTTTTGTGATCGATGAGTGTGAGGATTTAATCTGAGTTATTGCATTCAACCCGTTCGATTGATTGTATGTGTGTGTGTTGTGTGCATTGTATGTATCTTGGTATGTAAATCAGTATGTAGACAGTTTATATTTCAGATAAATATGTCAAGGATTTGCCTGAAATTTGCCCCTTGTTTTTTGAGGCAGCGATGTACTCATCTGAGCATGGTAGGGAATACCGGGTCTGATTGCTCTGAGTTTGCTTTGCCTTTCACCTGTTATATAGACTTTGGTGAATGCATTGAGTAGCATAGTCACAACAATTGGTTGTTATCTGGGTGCATAGATTTATTTTCTAATTTCTAAGGAAATGGATGGAAAGAGAAGTAAATAGGGACTTCCAATTGTTGTTTTTCATTATTGGTGATCATTTTGAACTGAAATTTTGTTTGTTCAAGTAGGCCAAACCTATGAGTTAGGTGTGTCAGAAGTGGAGTTTTTTAAAGTATGATCTGTAAGATTAGAAGATGTTTGAACTCAATGTAATAAGATGATATCTTGTTATTAATTGAATGATGTGTCTTCAGATGCCAAGCCATCTTTCCCTTGTTATTATTTGATGTTGCATTTGGACATTGCACTAATTTGGAGGACAAAGGGTTGTTTGTTTCAGACTTGGAAGCTGTATGGGCGGAAAAACTTAGTGTTCTTCTGATGTCTTTAACATGCAAATGGAGCCACAAGTCTCCTTGGGTTGTGAACCATGCCTCCATCCTGAGAAAATCCTAATTAAGGATGGTGATTGTGGTGTAACTGTATCCTTTCAAAACCATGATGTACAGCAGCCAGGTAATATTTGTGCTTGTCATTTCGAAGTTTCTAATCATTTGTCTCAATTGAGGTGCTTTGTCGTTTTTGTTACTGAATTGAGAATATTGATTGTACCTTTGGAATGCAGTTTCCAGTGCAGCGAAAAAACAAACACGGCAATGGGCTGCTTGGACACGTCAAGAGGAGGAAAGCTTCTTCACTGCATTGCGGCAAGTTGGCAAGGCATGTTTTTGCTGACATGGTTTTTGGTTTTTGGAATTATTTCTTACGATATATCCTGACATGACCCTATGATGTCTTTTAACAGAATTTCGAGAAGATCACGTGCCGTGTTCAAAGTAAAAACAAGGATCAGGTTAGTTGCTTTAATATTGTGTTCTAAATCCTTGGATTTGGTGAATTCTTAGTCTTGACTGTTTTGTTCTCATCAATACTTTGATGTTTCTATTTTGGCATTTTTCAGGTCAGACATTATTACTATCGTCTTGTGAGGCGTATGAACAAGTTACTGGGTCCCGGACTTTGTCTTGATGCCAAAAATTCTAAAGATACTAATGCTGCAATGCTTCGATGGTAACCAGTAACTATGCCCTCTACTTAATGTCTATTTTATATATTTTGGTAGTACAACTGTGCAAATTTCTCTTAAACTAGCAACATGTATGTGCACCTATGTCCCTTTCTGATTATATTTCTAAGAAGATGTAGTGATGTTGAATGAACTTATGTAGGGGTTGTTTTGTTGAATGAAGCCCTCATCTAATTAAGTGAGTAGGTTTCCTCACACCCAGTCACAAACTAGTCAGCTGCATAGTGATGTTGGATTCTGCCACCAGATATTTGTAAACATGTGGCTTAAAGATATTGCTACTATCTGTCTTCATCATGTGTGTGTAACATACTGTAGAACTGTTCAAAGTTTTGTGGATTTGTATAATTGTGCAGAGTGTATGGATAGAAACCTTCACAGTTTTCCACTAGAGAAATTTGACTGGCCTCATATTTACATGTATCCTGATACTTGATCAAGTATTGGTTATTCAGTAGCTCTCCGTAAGCTTTTGTTTTTCTATGGGATGCATTTTTAATGCTGCTTGGTTTCTGGTCTGTTGTTTTTTTTTTTTGAACTAATATTTCAGTTAGTATGGGTTCTTGAAGGACTAATATGGATATATATATATATATATATATCTATGTTGTATGTACTCAGATTGAACATCAAATAGAGCAACTAGATTCATGTGTTTGAATTTCTGCTTATTATTAGGATTCTTTTATAGCAACATCAATTTATTAGCAATAAGTTACACTAAAATTTACTGCTGATGCCACTAGGCCCTGTTTGGGAAGAAGGTTTTAGACTAAAATAGCTAATAAAGACAAAATAGGCAAAAATAGCCAATAAGACAAAATGTCACATTCAAACCATAATCAATTACAAAAAAGCCAACTATCTTTCCAACTATGAAGCACGGGTGCAGGTACTGGTACGGGTACGCTGATACGGCAAATTCTTAACAAAGTAGGGTACGGGTACGGATACGGATACGGGTACGGGTATGTCAATTTTTTATATATATATTTAAAAAAACTTATAGCTAAACATCCAGCATACAAATTAAAATTTCAATATCAAAACTAAAAAGAGAACAACTTGTCTAAAAAGTTATATAATTCTTTTTTTTCTTTTTTGATTGTCTAAAACATGATGCAAAAGAGAGCAAAACCATGAGTCATGGGTAAAGGGTGTTGGAAATAAATTATTTAATATTTTCAAAATTGAAAGAAGAATAATAAAAGCTGCAACAAATTCTAACAACTGCAAAAAAAAAAAAAAAAAAAAAAAAAAAAAAAATGCCGTACCCAAATGTATTTACCTTACCTGACATGTATTCAGCGTACCCGGTACGCGTACCGCCATACCGGTACTCGTACCCACACCCGCACCCGGTATTCGTACGGCACCATTTTTGGAGTATCCGTGCTTCATAGCTTCCCAAACACAATTTTTTTAGCCAGGCAAAAATAGCAAAAATGCCAACTAAATTAGCCAACTTCCCAAACGATCCCTAAATTATCTTTTGTTTTTGTTGTTCAATGTCCTTGTCAAGCTAAATGGTTGATGACTGATTGAGAAGTAGTTTAGTAAATGTTTCTATACCAAATTTGAATTTGAAATTTCATTTCTGATGATGAGTGGTCATTGAAGCTCTACTTATTTGTTGGGCTACTATGTGTTAGCAATGCTATGTGGTTATGTTGATGGTGGTACTCACAAGAAAATCCAACCATTAACTAGGCTATGACTAAATTTTGGCTTTATGTAACTGGTGCTATTAGGTTTTTTAAGCAGCATTTGATGCATATACGTTTTCAGCATGTTATATTATTGTTTCCTGCCTACTTCATCTAATCAACACTTCATTGTTCTTTATATCTAATGCTGATCATTAAGTAAACATGGGTCGTTTGGCATGATTGGATCTCCATTTTACTTAAAGATTGTGTGACTTCTGTTGTAGGTGGTCTTTACTCGAAAAGTATAGCTGTAAAGCCTCAAAGCTTCACCTGAAGCCTCGAAGGTTCAAGATATTTATAGAGACCTTGGTTAGTTAAGACTAGAATACTCGTTGAAAGTTTTCTGTATGTGAAACTTGATTTATTCTGCAAATGTTAAACTAATTTATCTTGGCTTGAAGGAGCACCAACTTTTGAAAGATCGAAAGAAGAGTAAACGGAAACGGCCTTTTCAGGGGGAAAACTGTTCTCCCACAATTCCAACAACTGTCTCAAATCAGAGCAGATCATCAGGAAATGACACTCATGCAGTTAAATTGGTTATGTTTGACAGTCAAAACATTCAAAAATTAGGACCTGGAAAAGGATCTTCAGTAAGGCGCAATGTAAATGTAGGAATTAATCGTAGCAACTGCAAAGCAGACTCATTTCCAGTAAAAACAGTAAGACAGCGGCGGAAAGCAGGTGATTTTTGAATTTCTATAATATTTTTTAAATTTGGCTAGTGTTGTTTTTCTAAAACCCTCAGTCAGCTTGCTTTTGCTATGTAACTTGTTTTTATTCCTTTTGTGTATGTTCTCACTTACACGCATGTGTGCATACGCTTTGTTTACCTTATATCTTCTTCGTGCATTGAACCATGGCATGAAGGTGAGGGTTTCCATCTTCATGGAGCTCCCTTGCCACAAGTATTACATTTTCCTTATCACCCAAACTTCACCGAAGCTCTCCGCCGGCACTCTTCCCACAGTCCTAGTTGCCACGTCAAAAAGCGATCTACACACATTTGAGTGAACTGCCCGTAATTCTCGGGATACTCTTCTAAGGAGTACAACATTGTATACCAAATAAATCGACAAAAATGGCAGAAAGAAAAGGAGGGACGAAACAAGGTACCAGAAAATCACCTAAGTGTAATAACTCTCCAACTGCAAAAGCATGTCTCTCTTATCTCTATCCACCGACAAATATCTGAGGCTGCACCCAGATATATAGACAGCTGTAAATACGGAGATTCGAAATTTAAAATTTGAATTCCCGCCCATTAATGTTCATTCACGCGGAATTCTGTGCACCTTTGCTTTATATCCAAGCAAAACCATCACGATCGTGGCACGTGGGTGGACAGGAGATGGCCACGTCTACTCACACCAAGCCCCGACTACTCACACCAAATAGTGATTACTATTTGGTGTGAGTACGGATTTAATCTCCGCCTTACACGTCGCCATCCGTACGTCCATCAACGGATGAAATTGTCTAACGGGTACAATTTCAACAGGGGGGGTGCTAGTAATATTATATATAGCCCCCCCAGCTGGTGTGACCTCCCCCTATATAAAGCCTCGACAAACAACATTCACACCTGTGTAAGTTAAGTGTTAATCACTAAATAAGCTAAATAATGCCTCGCTAAGCCTCTTTCCGTTTTTATGTCAAGAATGTTTTCCTCACCTACCCACAATGCCCATGCCCAAAAGAACAACTCTTAGAACTCCTTCAATCTCTCCTCCAACTAGCCTGTCAGCCATACTACATACTTGTCGCAAGGGAGCTCCATGAAGATGGAAACCCTCACCTTCATGCCATGGTTCAATGCACGAAGAAGATCCAAACCTCCAACCCGAGATTGAGGTTTTTAGAGAGAAGGGAGAGGAAATGATATTTTTAGAGAGAGAGAGAGAGGGATGTCAAAAGTGAGATACACTCAGCTCCAAAGAGAGAAAAAAGCAGAATTTTCGGATCCACCTACCACCGCACGTGCGGCACCCATGTCCGCACGTGCAGAATGTGCCTCTCGCATGTGCGGCCCTCACCCCCGCACGTGCAGCTCTCTCCTGCACCTCCACTTCCGCACCTACATATAATGTAGTTGGCGAAGCAGAAACGGAGGAACAATTCTTTGCTCTCTGTAAAGAAAGATGTCCCACCGATTACGTCACAAAATACCCCAAATTAAAAACATTTTTCAGGGATCATTACAAAAGAGAGAGGCCCCCATATACTAGCCCTTTTAATTCATTTCCTTTCTTAAATGAAGAAGTAAAAAATGGACAGAAAAGAATATTTTGTTTGTAAGTCGAAATTGCGTTCAGTACGAGGTTATGTCAAAATTGCTGTCTCTTCGTTTGGAGGGAAGACGATTTCCTTAGATTAAGGATACACAAAAATAATATAAACAATTTATATACTGACGAAGAACTCTCTTCCTCCTCTGATAACAGGAACCAGAGCAGAGGCCTATTCGCCCAATCTCCTTCTACCTCGAAGGACCCTCAAGAACAGGCAAAATCGCCTGGGCCAGAAGCCTCGGACGACACAATTACTTCTCCGGCAGAATAAGCTTCAAGGACTACGACCAAGACGCCGTCTACAACGTCATAGACGACATCAAATACTCGACAGTCCCTACCGAATTAATGAAGAATTTAGTAGGCTGCCAGAGAGATTTCCATGTATTTGTTAAGTTCCAACCAGATCTCACTATTAGAGGAGGAATTCCTTGTATTTTATTAACAAATGGGGACAGTAGTTGGTTAGATGCAATGTCCCCAAAAATGATAGAATTGTTTGATGTTAATGTAACCATTGTCATGATTAATGAAAAATTTTATTAATTTTATTTATGAAACCACTCAAAATTTTATTTACTTACTACATTTCCCTTATCATCAACTATGACATCTTGAGTCACATCACTATTTTTTACACTGATGATTACATTTCGTAAAACATTAGAAAATTCTGCTGGGGTCCATAATGACTAATCCTCTATGATCAACTTTCTCTTTGCTAACACCAACCTTCGAAATCGACGGACCAGAATCAACATCACTAGTGTCATCACTACCTCTGCGTACATCAATCTCAGACAAACTCAAACGACCTCTACATTCATGAATAATTGAATCACTTTCCCCAAAACCTCATAACAACAAATCTCTTCGCCTCTCTAGTAAACCCACAGACATAGTCCGTGTCAGAATCGGAATGGCCTTCGTTGGAGGACAATGCCAAATATCAACATTAACATGAATTCTCCTATTTCCAAATATAACTACAAAATTCAAAGAGAAAAAACATACTAATAAAAAAAAACAACCAAATAAACAAAACTAAATTACACATAATTTGAAAAAAACAATTCAAATTACATTACTTTCCACGACTCCAGAGTGGGAAAGCTCGAAAAAGAGTCAAAGTCTACCCCCGCGCCACACTCAGCCACCAAAGCCGCCGCCGTATTCATGCCCGGAGACGACGACTGAGCCGCCACCATCTCCGCCGCCGTAGTAGATCCCACCACCTGCTGTTTTCAAAAGTAAGTATGGAATTAATTTTTAAAAATTCTAACAAAGGCCATGTTTAAATCAGTTCTGAAACTAACGTTCTAGAGCGATGCTGAACAGAGTCTTAGTTTATCCTACATGAAGGAACTGCTTGTTGCCTAGGAGATTTAGAAAGGAAAATGTTTTAGAATATTTTTTATACACTAACAACTTAGGATGTTTTGGTTAAATTTCCCCAAAAATTATCATCACGGATGTCAATCCAATCATATCCTCTTACTTTTTTATTATTTTTTTTCTTTGTTTGAAAGGCCATATAATTTTTTACGTCACTATTATGAAATTTTCAAAACACATAATAATTATTTGTGATAAAAATGTATAATATGCACTTTATAAAGTAAGTGCTTGTTTCGGATCTATTACAAAAATTAAAAAGTCAAAAAATTATTTAAAAAGTCATAAAACTCATATTATAAGCGTGTGGGGGAAGTTATTGTTATTGTTATTTTATTTATATCCGACGGATTCAGTTAGTGTACTTTGCACATACGTTTAGCAAAGTGAGAAGACATGGCACATCCCAAGTCACGAATTCCTATTAAGAAGAAAAAAAAATCCATGCGCACCCCAAAGGTCAATAATTTGGTTAGTGTATTGTGTATCTATAATATCTCCTCCTCCTTTGATAACAGGAACCAGAGCAGAGGCCCAAACAACATTTTTTTCTGCTCGTGTATCCCTCCCCCAGCTGGTGTGACCTCCCCCTATATAAAGCCTCGACAAACAACATTCACACCTGTGTAAGTTAAGTGTTAATCACTAAATAAGCTAAATAATGCCTCGTTAAGCCTCTTTCCGTTTTTATGCCAAGAATGTTTTCCTCACCTACCCACAATGCCCATGCCCAAAAGAACAACTCTTAGAACTCCTTCAATCTCTCCTCCAACTAGCCTGTCAGCCATACTACATACTTGTCGCAAGGGAGCTCCATGAAGATGGAAACCCTCACCTTCATGCCATGGTTCAATGCACGAAGAAGATCCAAACCTCCAACCCGAGATTTTTCGATCTCATTGGAGCCAATGGGAGGATCTACCATCCAAATATAGAAAAACTCCACTCGCCAATAGCAAGTCAACAGTATATACAGAAAGGGGGCGAGTTCGTCGAATGGGAAGTATTTTCATCTAAGGGGAAAAGTCCTTCGAGAAACAGAGACGAACTCTGGAGGGGAATACTTGGCGAAGCAAAAACGGAGGAACAATTCTTTGCTCTCTGTAAAGAAAGATGTCCCACCGATTACGTCACAAAATACCCCAAATTAAAAACATTTTTCAGGGATCATTACAAAAGAGAGAGGCCCCCATATACTAGCCCTTTTAATTCATTTCCTTTCTTAAATGAAGAAGTAAAAAAATGGACAGAAAAGAATATTTTGTTTGTAAGTCGAAATTGCGTTCAGTACGAGTTATGTCAAAATTGCTGTCTCTTCGTTTGGAGGGAAGACGATTTCCTTAGATTAAGGATACACAAAAATAATATAAACAATTTATATACTGACGAAGAACTCTCCTCCTCCTCTGATAACAGGAACCAGAGCAGAGGCCCATTCGCCCAATCTCCTTCTACCTCGAAGGACCCTCAAGAACAGGCAAAACCGCCTGGGCCAGAAGCCTCGGACGACACAATTATTTCTCCGGCAGAATAAGCTTCAAAGACTACGATCAAGACGCCGTCTACAACGTGATAGACGACATCAAATACTCGACAGTCCCTACTAAGTTAATGAAGAATTTAGTAGGCTGTCAGAGAGATTTCCATGTATTTGTTAAGTTCCAACCAGATCTCACTATTAGAGGAGGAATTCCTTGTATTTTATTAACAAATGGGGACAGTAGTTGGTTAGATGCAATGTCCCCAAAAATGATAGAATTGTTTGATGTTAATGTAACCACTGTCATGATTAATGAAAAATTTTATTAATTTTATTTATGAAACCACTCAAAATTTTATTTACTTAACTACATTTCCCTTATCATCAACTATTACATCTTGAGTCACATTACTATTTTTTACACTGATAATTACATTTCGTAAAACATTAGAAAATTCTGCTGTATCCATAACAATTGATCCTTTATGATCAACTTCCTCTTTGCTAACACCAACCTCTGAAATTGACGGATCAGGATTAACATCACTAGTGTCATCACCACCTCTGCGTACATCAATCTCTGACAAACTCAGACGACCTCTGCTTTCATGAATAACTGAATCACTTTCCCCAAAACCTCTTAACAACAAATCTCTTCACCTCTCCGGTAAACCAACAGACTTGGTCCGTGCCAGAATCGGAATGGCCTTCGTTGGAGGACAATGCCAGACATCAACATTATCATTAGTATATTTTTTAGATAACACAACAATTGAGGGGGCCCTCATTTGCGAATCTTCTGGCATGTCACTCGTAGAATGGGGAAAGTGGTTCAATTATTCATGAACGTAGAGGTCGTCTGAGTTTGTCAGAGATTGATGTACGCAGAGGTGGTGATAACACTAGTGATGTTGATCTTGGTCCGTTGATTTCAGAGGTTGGTGTTAGCAAAGAGGAAGTTGATCGTAGAGGATCAGTTGTTATGGATGGAGCAAAATTTTCTAATGTTTTACGAAATGTAATCATCAGTGTAAAAAATAGTAATGTGACTCAAGATGTAATAGTTGATGATAAGGGAAATGTAGTAAGTAAATAAAATTTTGAGTGGTTTCATAAATAAAATTAATAAAATTTTTCATTAATCATGACAGTGGTTACATTAACATCAAACCATTCTCTCATTTTTGGGGACATTGCATCTAACCAACTACTGTCCCCATTAGTTAATATAATACAAGGAATTCCTCCTCTAATAGTGAGATCCAGTTGGAACTTAACAAATACATGGAAACCTCTCTAGCAGCCTACTAAATTCTTCATTAATTCGGTAGGGACTGTCGAGTATTTGATGTCGTCTATGACGTTGTAGACGGCGCCTTGGTCGTAGTCCTTGAAGCTTATTCTGCCGGAGAAGTAATTGTGTCGTCCGAGGCTTCTGGCCCAGGCGATTTTGCCTGTTCTTGAGGGTCTTCGAGGTAGAGGGAGATTGGGCGGATGGGCTCTGCTCTGGTTCCTGTTATCAGAGGAGGAGGAGAGTTCTTCGTTAGTATATAAATTGTTTATATTATTTTTGTGTATCCCTAATCTAAGGAAATCGTCTTCCCTCCAAACGGAGAGACAGCAATTTTGACATAACTCGTACTGAACGAAATTTTGACTTACAAACAAAATATTATTTTCTGTCCATTTTTTTACTTCTTCATTTAAGAAAGGAAATGAATTAAAAGGGCTAGTATATGGGGGCCTCTCTCTTTTGTAATGATCCCTGAAAAATGTTTTTAATTTGGAGTATTTTGTGACGTAATCGGTGGGACATCTTTCTTTACAGAGAGCAAAGAATTGTTCCTCCGTTTCTGCTTCGCCAAGTATTCCCCTCCAGAGTTCGTCTCTGTTTTCCGAAGGACTTTTCCCCTTAGATGAAAATACTCCCCATTCGACGAACTCGCCCCCTTTCTGTATATACTGTCGACTTGCTGTTGGCGAGTGGAGTTTTTCTATATTTGGATGGTAGATTCTCCCATTGGTTCCAGTGAGATCGAAAAATCTCGGGTTGGAGGTTTGGATCTTCTTCGTGCATTGAACCATGGCATGAAGGTGAGGGTTTCCATCTTCATGGAGCTCCCTTGCGACAAGTATGTAGTATGGCTGACAGGCTAGTTGGAGGAGAAATTGGAGGAGTTCTAAGAGTTGTTCTTTTGGACATGGGCATTGTGGGTAGGTGAGGAAAACATTCTTGGCATAAAAACGGAAAGAGGCTTGGCGAGGCATTATTTAGCTTATTTAGTGATTAACACTTAACTTACACAGGGGTGAATGTTGTTTGTCGAGGCTTTATATAGGGGGAGGTCACACCAGCTGGGGGGGCGCTATATATAATATTACTAGCGCCTCCTTGTTGAAATTGTACCCGTTAGGCAATTTCATCCGTTGATGGACGTACGGATGGTGACGTGTAAGGCGGAGATTAAATTCGTACTCACACCAAATAGTAATCACTATTTGGTGTGAGTAGCCGGGGCTTGGTGTGAGTAGACGTGGCCATCTTCTATCCACCCACGTGCCACGATCGTGGTGGTTTTGCTTGGATATAAAGCAAAGGTGCACAGAATTCCGCGTGAATGGGCGGGAATTCAAATTTTAAATTTCGAATCTCCGTATTTACAGTTGTCTATATATCTGGGTGCAGCCTTAGATATTTGTCGGTGGAGAGAGATAAGAGAGATATGCTTTTGCAGTTGGAGAGTTATTACACTGAGGTGATTTTCTGGTACCTTGTTTCGTCCCTCCTTTTCTTTCTGCCATTTTTGTCGATTTATTTGGCATACAATGTTGTACTCCTTAGAAGAGTATCCTGAGAATTACGGGCATTTCACTCAAATGTGTGTAGATCGCTATTTGACGTGGCAACTAGGACTATGGGAAGAGAGCCGGCGGAGAGCTCCGGTGAAGTTTGTTCCGGTGTACGAAGAGCAGAGGGCAAAAATATCAAAGCTAAGGTGTCTGAACAGAAGGGTTAGCAGAGGTAACAGAGCCTGTAGAAGTGTTCGTATAAAAGATTTGGAGATTTATAAAAAATGGAAGAAATAGGAAGAAGCCATTACCGGAACCCCCTTGCGTACCGGAGGTCAAGGACACCGGCGGCCAGTGGATATAGGCGTAGTTACCGTAGTCGTGCACCTTTTAAGACCCAGTATGTTCGTAGACGTAGTTCAGAATATTCCCCGATTTATTAAGAAGACTAAGAGGGGAGTAAGGAAATTACAGCTATACGGTGAACAATTAAGGGACGTTAAGTTTGATAATAAAGGCGTGGCGAGATTACTTAATGATATTGAGTTGGGTAATAAAAGATCTGACCATCAATCAGACATGCCTTACACGTCACCATCCGTACGTCCATCAACGGATGAAATTGCCTAACGGGTACAATTTCAACCGGGGGGGCGCTAGTAATATTATATATACCACCCCCCAGCTGGTGTGACCTCCCCCTATATAAAGCCTTGACAAACAACATTCACACCTGTGTAAGTTAAATGTTAATCACTAAATAGATCGTGGTTAAGGGTCCCTTAGTTGAACTGATCCTTGGATACGCATAACTTCTTCCTTATTTCTAATAAGCAAGATACATGTAAAATTTAAAAAGAGAATTGAATACTTTCTGTCACTTCAATGGCTCTTATAATGGAAATATATATTTCTTCAAACAAACTTACCCAAAAAAAAAAAAAAAATACTTCAAATTAAATTCACCGAGGGAGTATATATTTATATTCAGCTATGTTGTCAACTGGACAGATGTGTGGTAGCTGTATTTGTCATTGTTGGCTTGTTATATTAGCCATCATCCATTTTGCTTTCACTAAATTCTAACTATTATTTTCCTGTTCTTTTTCTCTGATTGTTCTGGTATGGTTGTTGCTGGCGCTGGCTGTCCAGCAGGTACTGCCTCAACAGCTGCATACAAGAGATGGGAGAAGGCCGCAATCGCTGGAGTTTCATTGGTGGCTGATGCCGCTGAGCATTTGGAGAGGACAACCACAGATAAAGAGGTTGAACTTGTCCAAGTTACACTGGGTGAGTACATGTCAAAAGCAATTGATGGAAGGTTGATCAGTTTCTGCCAATGGTGCATATTTGGAAAGGTGTTGATGGGCAGGACTGATGATGTGTGATTTTCTTGGCACTGTCTGATTCTCTCCAATTTACTTTCCAGGGCAAAACAGTTTTGATCCTATCGGAAAAGATGTTCCTTCTCCTTTGCCAATTTCTTCACCAAATTCTTTCAATGAGAATAATATACAAACTGCTGTTAAACTTAAGCTCCAGTTGTTCCCAATTGATGAAGGTACCCGAAAAGCCTTGGAAATGGTAAGTATGAAAAGGCATTATGCCAATGGGTTTGATGTAGAATGAAGTTTTAGCTATTTAGCAATAGTCAAAATGGTTAAAAAAAATATATGGGCCATTATCTTTTGGCAGGATAATCATAATCCACACCTGGAGCTCACATTAAGCACTCGCAAAAAGATATCATCAGTTTTGGAACATCTCAATCGCAAATGGGGAAATTCAAGTGTAGCATCTGGAGAACTAATGCTTTTCCCCTACTGTGTTCAAAGGGAAAACCTTGTGGGTTTTTGTAGGTGGACTCAGGATTCTGTTCTTAGTGCCGCAGATGTATATGCACTGATTGGAAGCCCTCCAGTTTTCCGCTTGAGGTTTCTTCTTTCTTGCTTTCTTTCTAACTTTAGAAGTAAGTTTTACATAACATCATGGCTGATTTTTTCCTTTTTGAAGGTATGGTTGGTTTTCCAATGATGAGTTCGTGTTAGCAACTCCTCAACCACCTACAGTGTCATCTGGCATAATTTGCAACCTTAACATGAACGTCAACAATACGAAGGAGCAGAGTAAGGATTCAATGCGAGTACTGCCGCCACCCACTGATTATCAGTCTGAGAAACTAATCGATCAGTGTAATAAAGATCAGCAAGTCTCGGGGGCAGTAAGCACTTCTGTGCTACCCTCTTCCACAGATGTGCCTGATGACATTATTGGGCACACCGGCGTGGATGCCAACAATAATCTTCCGGAGTCTTCTGATGGTGCAGCAACCATATCATGGGATAGAAGGGAGATTGCCAATGGAGCTATTTTGAGACAAGGGGAGAACAAGGTACTTGTTTTTTTTTTTTTTTTTTTTTTTTTGGAATACCCATTCCAAAATATGATACACCTTCATTCTAAAATGGTGAAATTAGCAATCCAAAGTGATCCCAAAAGTTTTTCCATTTTTAATTCCTTGGGATAAAAGAACAAATACAATAAACTAAAATTGAGAGAGTGGAATTTTGGCAAGAAAAACTTATAAATGATTAATTTGAAAAATTATGGTTGTTTATTGGATGTTTAAGGCTTGAAAGAAACTTCCTTTCATGTTTTCAAGCACTATACAGTCTAATAATGTGATCTACACAAGCCTACCTCTGTTGTACCACAATTTAGGGCATGTACCGTACCATGTTCATGGTCTAATAATGTGATCTATACCAGTACTCCTAACGTAGCACAATTGAGGTGCAAGTTGTGTACCATACTCACGTTCCCTTTCCTCGTACTGAAAGTTAATGTAGCGTAGAAATATGCTAATTTAAAAGATGTCATGACACGGGCATGAATTCAGGTCTCTCACTTGTGCATCACCAAGTGTGTAGATGTGTGTAAATTGTCACAAGTCGTTTTGATAAGACCAGTGATGTACCAAGTGTATAAAAACATCCAGCAGGATTGACCTAGTGTTAATGGTTTGGCAGCATGAATTCAGTCTATCCTCTTAGTTGTGTGGTAAATTGTATTTGTTGAAGTGTTAGATTTTAGCTCCCTTACGAATTCAAACATATCCTTACATTGGTCTTCTTCTTGAGCTCTGTTGCCTTACATATGTCTGCTTATCTTGCCCAACCTTTTCAACTTGTCTTCCTTTAACAAGTTGGAAGTGTTCCTTCTTGGAACTGTCTAAATGAACAAGTTGGAAGTGTCAACGTCCATTCACTTGTGCCATGAGAAACTCTAGTTTTGTCAAGGTGAGGATGAGTGATGACAAGATAATAATTAGGGGAAATTTCATAAATAACCCTAGGGTTTGACCCTTGTAACGACTTAAACCCTGAGCTTTTAATTTTATCAAATAAAATCCTGAGCTAACTTTATATCAATCTGAACACTCCATCTATTTCTGTTAGTTTGTCTGACAGCGGAAATGTTCTATAATACATGTGGTACATTTTCACTTCCTCTTTGAACTTCATACATTTTGAATTTTAAACTTGACCACATCAGATTACAAACATTATTTATTATATAAAATCAGAAGCATTCATTATAAAACATACCAAGCACATGACCTCATCATATCACACCACTCTCATCCTTTCTCAACCATCTAGCCCCACCACTAGCATAACTCCACCCATCTTCTCCCTTTCCTTTCTCCTTCCACCACCCTTCCACCACCGCCACTTCCATCTTACCCCACCACTGCCTACATGCCTCATCCCCTTTTCTCTCTCACCTCCAGCCCTCCCCCTCCCCCGACACTGCCTCCCATCCCCTTTACCACCTCATAGGGCCGTGAGCATGATGACAAGATTGACGAGGCGTGGCATTGGGTATGATGAGATTGATGAGGGTCTGGACTGGGTATTATTGATTTTGGGAAAGAGAAGATGTAAGAGTGGTAAGGGAATTGAAGGGAGAAGGTAGGGGTGGCACAATGGTTGCGCACTGCCGTGGTGTTGGGAGAGATAAGGAAAGAGTGAAAAAAAATTGTGCATTGTTAAATTGTCCCTAATTTAATGGGTAAAAGGACTATATCACCTCTTTTATGATAGTTTAGTAAACGGATTTGGACGAATAGTTCAAATTAATACCAATTTAAAAGTTTAGAGTTTTATTTGATAAAATTAAAAGCTCAGGGTTTAAGTTGTTATAGGGGTCAAACCCTAGGGTTATTTACAGTGACGGAACCACCTTTAGACCAAGGAGGGCCATGTCCCCTCTGCTTTGAGCAAACCCCCTTTATATGCAATGGGATATGTAGTAATATCTTGGCATTCTCCTTATGTGGTCTTCTTTCTGTTTGATGGCCCTTCAATGTTTCTATAACAACTCTCTATGATAGTTCACTCTCTTACTGTATATATAGCTTAGACTATATTTTAACTAACACTACTATCCCTTTGATAGTTAAGACTGAAGAGACTATATAGATAACCATTATCTTTGCAAATACAGTACTACTTTTTAAAGTGATACTGTAATATATTATATACAACATTTTCCTTTATACGGAGTGGAATGATGCGAAATGCCTCTTGCGTTCTTAATTTGTCAATGTGGGACAACAGTCAAAACCCTTCCTATTTTACCTCCTTTCTTCAAATATTAAGTTCAAACCCTAAGAGTTGCAATCAAATAAACAATCTCAACATAAGAAACTATTTTTAATTATATGATAATTTGATTTAATTTTTTTTATCTTTTAAAGACACAATTTCTGAAAAAGCACAAAAGTTTATAGTTAAAGAACATTACAAATTTAACAACATAAGCAGTGTCAACCAAACACAGCCATTTCAAAGCGTTTCAAATGATGGACGGAAGATCTAACTTGATACCATAAAAAGTGGAATGTCACAAAACACAGGACAATAAAATGTTATCCCCTAATACACAACCCAACCTGCATTAACTAAGTTTAAGTTGGAGCTCATCCAATTGATAGCATTAAAATTTCCAGCATTAATAATATGAAGATTTATTGTCTTAAACCCAGCCCAATCGACCTGCCAGGCCAACCACCTAGTGGCCTCGTTTGGGAAGTGGCTATTTTAGTAGGTTAAAATTTTTGTGTTTGGGAAGATGATTGGATTTTTTTGTGGTTGGATGTGATGTTTGTGAGAGAAAAAGTGAAATGATTATGGGTTTGATGTGATATTTTGTCTTATTAGCTATTTTAGCCTATTTTGTCTTTTTGTGAATTTTAGCCTAAATTGGGCTATTTTTTTTCTTCCCAAACACCCCCAGTATGTTCTGGGTCCATTCCTGATATTTATCTAATTTTCCCTAATAAGTAATAAGATATTCTTTCTTTGTATTGGATATTGATTTTTCATCTGTCCTTCTCATTTACAGTAAGAAGATATTTTACTAAATGGCAGGTTTTTGAAATATTTGGGGAAAGATCATCTAATATGATTTATACTTTTGCAATCAAAGAATGCTTTACATGGAAGCAGACAGCTTTTAATGGAGATCTTGTTTTTGTTGACTTTTTAACAAATTATAATCACCTCTGCAGTCAAATAAAGAAACAGTCATGATAGATTTCCTCGTTTTTCATTGCACTTCTAAACTTTCATTTTACTTTGTCTATTAGGAAGATCCGCGTTTAAGAAATGGGCCTGTATTGTCAGCCAGGGAGTGGGCTGATAGCCTTACCAACATAAGCATTGGGGATTTACTCTCAGATGTGCCCCATGATTTAGTTGCCAGCTGCGTTGATCCAACCTTACCGGGAAGTTCTCAATGTCTTCAGCTGGGTTCCTTCAGTTGCGATTCGTTTGATGCTGCAATTGCTGCTCATATATATAGACATCAAAATAAAACTAACTTCCCGCCGACTCTGGCATCCCTTGCATCACCCATTTGGGATGCCGAAGAAACATGCGATGCCTTCTCATTTCAGAACACTGTTCTCAGGGAGGAGGTCCAGACTGCATCTGACATTGCTTCATCAGACGCCTGCAAGCAGTTTGGTAGAATGAGTTCAGTGGGATCTGGCTTTAATGCTGAGGTATTATAACTTGATTCGCTTTATTTTCAACTTATTTGGTGCTCCATTTGTTTTGGCAGGAAACATTTTCCAACAATGGGAAAACTTTTTCCAGAAAATGTTTTCTGGAAAAGAAGTGTTTTCTTATGTTTGGTTATGTCCTTGAAATTAATGTACTAATGGTTAGTATTAGTGGAGGTGGTGGCAGTGGTGATGGTAGTGGAGGTGATAGTGGGGTGGCATTGCTAAGACTTTGGTCCGGAAAACGTTTTTAACTTTTTAAAAGTGGAAAACATTTTTGGCCCAAATACTTGTTTTCCGTTGACCACAAAGCATTTTGCATTTGACTTTTGTTTTCCATTGTTCCAAATGCCATAAAACGAAAAAAATGTTTACCGCTTATACAAACAGGGTGTTAGCATCTTACTGCTCTGCAGAAGTGATATTTTACTTAAAAAGTGAAAGGATACATAACATTTTCAATTTTCCTGCAGGAGTTGCCTGAAGTTGAGGTGCTTATGGATGACAAGCCTGTAGATGAGGAGCGGATGGATGAAAACCCAGCTGATGAAGGCACTGAAGATGATAATCCTGCTAATGGAAATCCAATGGATGAGTATCTGTCTGATCCACCTATCCTGGAAGATTCTGCAAAGGATCTCAATGGATTTACAGATATATATTGGGTATATCTCTTCTTGAACGTCTGATAATTAGTTTGATGTTTGTGCACTGTTTTGCCATGTTGTTAACAAAGTCCTAGAATTGTGAATTCACCCTCACGGCTAGTCCACTCCCGTCGCTAGTCATAATGAAAACAAATTTACAATTCTGGATGCTGTTTTCATTTGTTTTCATCCTGGATGCATTATTTCACAAGTCCACCCTCCACCGCTCGCCACCACTTCCGGCAACTCACCAAACTTCATTTTTTGTTTTCATTTGTTTTCACGAAACAAGGTTTATTTATTTTTTTAAAAACTTTTTTTCCCCAAAAAAATGAAACAAAAATGTGTTTCCTGTTTCCGGTTTTTTTTTTTGGTAAACAAAAAACAAGAAATTTACAACATCATCAAACCAAACTTAATTTTGGGTTTGAAAGTGGACAACCGAACTACTTTTAGGTTTTTGGATTAGATGCAGATTAATCCGAATCAACTTAAAAATTGATCTTATATATAAATTTTGCATGAAATGTTATATGTAGTATATAGGTTTTCATAAAATTTGTTGTGCTCATTCATTTATGGTAAATTTTATAGCATGATGCTGCTTAAGTGATCTAATTTCATGTTTTTCATATTGCAGCCTGACTCTTTAGGACCCTTAGATTTGGATATACCTTCCTCCAGATACCATACTGAAGATCTAATTTTAAGCGATAGCCTCAGCGGCTTGAACCGCCTACTTGCCAGCAGTCTCGATGTGTTTCAGAATTGCTCGTTCTTTGGATTGGACAAGAAAGAAATATCATCAACAGTTGAAGCTCAACAAACTGCTTCATTTTCAGATTATAAAATTGGCAGCGGTGTTTGAGATTATACCAAGACCCCCTGGAGACAACATTTTTATCATTGACGGGTCAAGCCATGGAATTCAAGCATTGCTGTTGGTAACTTGTGACTGCGATTTGTATCCTGGTTTAGTTGGCTTTGAGTGCCAAGAGAATTCGGTGACTGCCCTCATCGGAAGTTTTCTCCCCTGTTGTACAAAAGATAGATGTGGAGAAACTTGTTTACAGATCTCTCTATTCCAACTTCTGACATTATTGGTACATTTCTGTAAATTGTGTTTCAGAAGCTGCAAATGTGCAACCCCCAAATACACAAATAACTTTTGATTATCTGAGTTTCACAGGCTTGTTAAGTTGAGAAAGTGGACTCATTTGAACAGTTGGTCCTCAATGTTAATTGACTTTTGAGACAGAAATAGCTTTGATTAACTGAGTTTCGGAGTTTGTGTTCAGTGGAGTATGTAGACTCAATTGAACTGTTGATTACTCAAAATGTTAATTGTCTTCTAAAATAATATGAGATGTTTTTGTTATCTGAAGACTGTCTTTGTCTCTATTTATGCTTTTGAGTGGCTTATACTATGTGGAGTATGTGTTGGTTGTGGAAATATGATTAACACTTTTTGTGGCAGAGAAATTCAACCTAGAGCTCTCTCATACGACGAAAATCAAGTTGTCTAGCTTTTGAAGAAATATGAATAACATTACTGTTTTTATCTCACAAAAGTTGCTATGCTTTGGTGTGTTTTGTGCAGTTTGTGTTGTGACTTAAGACTTGTTTGGTAACATTTTTGTATTTTGTTTTTGTTTTAATTTTTTTTGAAAACTAGGACCAGAAGTTATTTGGTTTAAAGTGTTTGCTCTTGATAAAATGAAAGTGATTTAAATTTTTAAAAAATTCTTAGAAATGGAAAAAAAATATTTTTACAACACGTTTTCATTCTCTTGTCGAAAAATGCTTCGGACCCCCAGTGAGGTGACGCGCCGTGATTGGACAAAAAAAAATTGTTTTATTTATTTATTTATTTTTTTTTTGAGTTTCAGCCAATGGGGACTCGCCACCTCACTGGGGGTGTGACCCCCACTGGGGGTCTGCAGCATAATTGTTCTCTCGTCCATCTCAAACCACCCATTGTAAACACTCCATTTTTGACCGATCTTAAGACTCAGACGTTACCGATCGAGGCAACTTTGGTGATGACGGACGCGTGGCCTTTTGGCACCGAGTCAGGGTTTCCTAAATTTCCCAAAATAAAATATTTAGGTGGCGACTCTGTATCTGGCAAAGCAGTCCATGTTTGGCACTTCTTTCAAAAATCAGTTTTCCTAAAACGATTTGCCGGATTTGGACTCTTTGGTTCAGATTTAGAACCGTGACGACGAAAAGCCGAGTCCGAGCTGTAGCGAGGTCCCCCGCGGGCTTGTTACACCCATCATTGTCACTGGTCATCCACAACCATTAACAACTGTTGTTTTTTTGTTGGTGTCCTGTTGTTGGCTAGCAATTAGTGATTTTTTGACAAGCTTTGGCCTTCTTTTGACAATCGAACGGACATCTTAAGTGATTTCAGCTACCAATGTTGATGTCCACTTTCGATCACTCCATTGTCGGTCATCACATCTGTCCACTTTTTTTTGCTAGTCACTATCTTTGATAACTTATCAAACATATATTTCATTTATTTTTTGTGTACACCAATCATCTGTGACTACAATGGAAATTGAGATATCTCATAGTTGCAGAGAGAGAGAGAGAGGAGAGAGAGTAGAGCTTCTTTCTCTAGGCGATTCTGGCGGTGCTCCAACGGTATTTCGGTAACACTCCGACGACTCCTTTTACACTTCTAAAGTGTAAATATGGATTTTTTATGTCTAAAATAGGGGTTTTGAAAGTTTTCTCTTTTAATTTCGACATAATTTTTTAGATTTTCATCACTTACAATGGTTTCCTTATCTCTCAAGCATTCTCTTATACCATTGTGGATATACTTCATTCTCAACTTTAGCTTCTGGTGGTATCCGAAGTCCAATGGTGACAGAGTTGGGCAATGGCGATAGAGACAACATCAATGAGGACGGCGGGCTTTTAAATAGATCTTCCTTTCCAAATCACATTTTTGAGAAGATTGGTAGTTTGTCTCGTAACTAGTTTTTTTGACAAATTTGTTTTTTTGTTTTGTTGGGATGGTCCTTTGAGATCTTGTTGATGTATGTTGTTATTTATTAATATAAATGTTTTTCATATTCTCAAAAAAAAAAACAAAACAAAAACAAAAACAAAAGCAACTAGTTTTTTATTAATTGTAGGGTTGAAAAAAAAAAGGTTTGGGCGATTGAGGAATATAACAGGGTAGGTGTGTAATTTTTTTTGAGAAGATTGGTAGTTTGTCTCATAACTAGTTTTTTTGACAAATTTGTTTTTTTGTTTTGTTGGGATGGTCCTTTGAGATCTTGTTGATGTATGTTGTTATTTATTAATATAAATGTTTTTCATATTCTCAAAAAAAAAAACAAAACAAAAACAAAAACAAAAGCAACTAGTTTTTTATTAATTGTAGGGTTGAAAAAAAAAAAGGGTTTGGGCGATTGAGGAATATAAGAGGGTAGGTGTGTAATTTTCTTATACTAAAGGGTGATTATGTAATTTCAATTTTTTGTTATTTTATTGTGTGAATATAATAAAAAAATGATACTAAAGGGTGATTATGTAATTTCAATTTCCTATTATTTTATTTTATTTTGTGTGTGAATATAATTAAAAATATTGAGAGAATGTGACATCCTATTAACAATTTACTAATATGGATGTTCTTTTACATGTGCCAGACCAAAATGGCCATGTTTGTTTATCGGCATGGGAGGAGGGATTGGAGTGCTCTATGATTGTGGATCTCACTTATAATTTGTTTGGTGATGATTTGGGAGGAGGGAGTAATAGCTCGAGGGGTTTAATTTCTTTTCGTAGGGGATTAGATTGGTTGAATTTTAAGTGAAATTAAGAAAATAGTTATGAGATTAAGCCTATTTTATATAAAAAATTTATTTTTTTGCCATGTACACCAGTTTGTTTTAATATTTATTTTAGTTTTTTTAATATAAAAATAATTTTTTATTTATTTTATATAAAAATAATTTAATAATTTCATCACTAATCATTTTCTATACTATCATCATAATAAACATATTTTTACTTAATTTCCTATCTAATAATTTCCATATTAATAATTTATTGACTCTATCATTTTAATAACAATCCCATCTTATTTTAATC